TTTTCCCTTGCATGTTCAGCAATTTTTCCTTTCTTCTTGTTGTTTTCCTAGAAAGGCCAAACCTAACCACAAGGTTTGCGGTGTTCCTCTGCCAATTTATCTGTCGGGGAACCAACCTGGGTGACCCAGCTGGGTGGGTTGCAATGGATGGTTTCAAAACTAATCCTTGCTAAACTTGGAATGTGTAATAGAATATGTGTAATGTCAGGGCTCAAACTCCGTGTCCCCGAGACCCCGCTGGGCCTGGGCGTGAGAAGCCAGGCAGAGAGGAGGCGGGGCTCCCCAAGGAGAGAGAAGGGGAAAGGGCCCTGCAGCGACCGTCCTCTTGGGGCCAGGTCTTCTGCCTATTTTTAAGTGTATCTCCTAATTTAAAATCATCCGCAACTCATTCATATTTTTGTAAAACATCATGCAGCCCAAACAAAACTCGTCCGCTGGCCTTAGATCTGAGCGGGCACTCCTGCAGGGGGTGCTAGCTGCTCCCACCCCATGCGACTGGACACCCCTCCACCCCGCGTTGATTGCGGTACCTCCTTCATCATCCGTTCTCTTGTAAACAGTCGGGTTTCCCTCTGGCTTACTGGAGTCTGAGCCATTGATCTGCATGTTCCTACGGCACAGCCCTGAGGTTTGAACGGCAGTGATTGTCAGGATCTTGTTTCCTACTGGAAAGCTCTACACAGATACACACACACACACACACACATGCACACCCCTCACTTTATTTTCCCTAATTTTCTGACTTGCTCTGCTGGTCTTGTTGGTTTTTCCAGATAAAGTCTGCAATCTTTTCATCTTTTTGCCTAAAAGCGAAACAAACCCAGTGGACTTCTGATCCTCCCGGCGCTGCTAGCTCAGGAGACCAGCTCCTCCACTCTGGACAGTCCTGTTGTTTGTCTGCCTTCCCCTCAGGTGAGTTTGTCCTGTCAGGGGGATGGTGGTCATTCCTCCCGAGCCCTGGTCCCCTGGGTGGGGGGTCTGTTCTGTGGCCCTGGGGACTGGACGGCTGTTTTCCAGTGCTGGGTCACCAGGAGGAGGGAGGGGCTCTGGGGGGACAGAGCTTCTCTGTAAGAGTTTGGGGTCTTCCCACCGAAAATCAGCCCCACAGGAGGAAGGGAGGGCGCCCTGTGGCCAGCCCCACTGGGTGCAAACATGGAACAAAGGCCCACCCACCCCAGGCGCCCCGGCGCCGCCCGCAGAGTCATAAAGGCACCGTCGCCCTGCACGGCCCACCCGCCCTGCCTGGGAGCTTTGAGGCCACAAAATCGAAACTGTTTCCCAGCACAATGACTGGGCAGTGGAGTCATTGTTAGGGGCAGGCTATTTAGCGGAGGTGGGAACAGAAGTTGTGGGAGCAGGGCTGCAGCCTGGTTCTGCTGGTCCAAGTGACTTGCTGGGACTTGAGCCCAGGCTCCTGGCTGCCCCTGCTCCTGGAGTCCCCTTCCCACTCAGCCCCATCCCCACACCATGGCCTCCCAGCTCTTTGTCAGAGGCAGCCCCTGCCCTGCAAGTGTCCAGGCAGCAGATTCACCCGAGCAAGGGTCTTGTGGGTTTCATTCCCCACCCGAACGCCCAGAGCACACAGGCTGGTAAACCCGTGTGGCAGAAATGAATGGATCTGTTCAACAGACTTTGGGAGGCACCTACCCCAGACCTGAGTTTGCAGGGAGAGGGGGTCTGCTCACCTGCTTCTCTGGGGCCAGCGGGCTGGTTCTCAGCCCCTCCCCACTGCCAGGCACTGGGCGCTCCATAAGTACTGGTTGGCAGGATGGAAGACAGCACTGGGAGTAACAGAGAAACAGAGCCTTTTCCACGAGCACTCTGGTTCTGGATTCTGGCCTGAGGTCCCGAGCCCCACTCTAGACTCTGGGCCCACGTCCTCAGTACTAAGTTCTGGGTTCTGAGCTGCAAGCTAGGCTGTAGATTTGGGGGTCCACACCCAGTTCAGGGCTCTCTATTATGAGATATGAATTCTGAGGTCCAGGTTCAGGGACCCAGTTCTTGGATGTAAGTTCTGGATTCTGAGTTCCCAGCTCTATGTTCTGGATTTGGGGATTAGGCTCTGTGCTCTGTTTTGGG